TGATCCTTCATTTTAACTGTATCGTTCCATAAAATACCTATTATGTTTTCATCGCTTGTAAAAAGCTCAAAATCTGCGACATAGTCGATGTTTGATCCAAACCATGCACATTCAACTTCAGTATTATTTTTTATAGAAAAAGCTTTTTTAGAGGTTTCCGGTGGTGGATTTACAAAAGCGTAGTCTTTGTGGAAAATAGTGGTTAAGATAGATTGCGAAAGAAAATATTGTTTAAAGAAAGAAATTAAATTTTAGTTACCATGACAAGGATTCTCACGTCCTATTAGTCCGTAAAAACAGTATTTATGAAATATTAATATTTAGTTGTAATTGTCAATAAAAACTTAAAGCTTCTAAATACCTTCAAATTTGGGTATAGCTAAAGAAATTAAGAATAAAATCATGAAAGCAGATTTGACGTTTAAAGACATGGTTGTTTACTTGGTGAAAATAATAGTAAATTAATAAATATGTATTTTTTTTTTTGAAGACAACGAAGATATTCGATTGAAGAATGCATCTATTTTATAAATTTTCAGTTGATGATCTTATACTTTAATAAAAGCTTTAACCATCCAGCTCGGGTAATATACGTACTACTAAAACTTTTTCCGTTTATCATTTTTAACTAATTTTAGGTCCTGCGATCTGTATCCGGTGACCAACATAACTCAAGAAACGAGTTTTTATATATTAAAAAAAAGTTTCTTGTCAGGTTTAGTCTAAGCATTAATCGATCTACTTGCCTGTTAATTTAAATGATGCTTTAAAAGGTGATTTTAATGAAATCTTAAGTTTTTCCAATCACTAATAATACTATGATATATTACCTATTTTATCGTTCGTTCATGTAGCATAATCATTTGGTCATGCGATTTATGTATTAAAAAATAATCATGATTTATTTTTAGTATAATTTCGAAAGATAAACATGCTAAAAATTTAACCTTATTTAAGAAATATTATAGACAAGCAAATTGTAATTAAGGGTTGAAATCATTTAAAATTTGATTGAAAATAGTATTGATAGACATGATTATTCGATTAATTTTCTAAGTACAGTTGACCAGTTGACCTTCCATAAGTGCATATCAGTCTTGACAATCACTTCATAGACACTTGATTTTACACATATGATCAATTCATAAAAAATCAGTTCATTTCATAGTTAATCTAACAATAGCTCATTTTATATATAGTTTATTTCACCGACAGCTCATTTCATTGACAACAATCATAGTCATTATTGCTGTATTGTTAAGGTTAGGATAAGAATTATGTTTAAGGTTAGTGCAAGTCAAAAAAAAATAAATTGTGTGTATAATAAATTAACTATCTATAGAATGAATTTTGTTCGTGAATTGATCGTCTGTAAAATAAATGTGTCGGTGAACAAAGCTCATAAGTTAAATTTTTTAATTACGTGATCTTAATTAAAATTAAATTTTCCAAGTGCAAGTTGCTAGAACATAGCGATAGAAAATTCAATATAAAACATTAAAATCTTGAATTTAAAACAAAGCTGTATACCAGTACGATTATATGAATGTGTAACTCCATTATGCTGATCTTTTTTATTAGGTTTATCCATTTTTATAGAGTTAACTGTTATGTAAAGATTTTGCAAATCTATACGTACATATGGGCGGATTTAAAGATTTTTACTCTACGTAGTTACAATATAAAAATAAATCATTTATAGAATTTCATAAATGATCTATTTTTAGATTTGTCGGATTTCACGTATATCTAGTTTATCGTTATATACACTTAAAGAGACACTCCCCTGACATTAGTCACCGGAACTTACCTAATACTAATGATGATCGTTATTCACGGGTCGGTTAAAGCCTGGTGAACTACCCAATGGCACCGACAGATTTTCACTGGTCGACATCGAATTGATCAATTAGATTACAAGATCAGGTGTAACGTGAAAATCATGCGTTTTTTAAAAAACCGCCTGTAACTCAAAATTTCACCTATATAACTTTCTTCTGCGCACTAGTAAAAAAATTCCTTGCAAAATTTAGTGTAAAACAAGCCTACCAGAACCGAAACTATACATAACTTATATTTAGTAATAGATATTCCACGGGCTGCTGTGAATATCATGGATTAGCACGGCGAAGCCGTGGTAATACATGATGTCACGGCACACCGTTGTTGAAGATTATATATTTCACGGTTCCTATGCCCGTAACATTTCTGATTAAAATTTTTAATGATGACGTAATGCCCGTGGAATAATTTCTTGTTATCTGGCATGATGTGACGGATACATGGGTATTCGACAGGGTGATAGCAAAAGCACGTGGCCTTCGGCCGCGTGCGTTGCTGTCATCCTGTCGAATGGGATCCCTAATTTCCCCCACCACTTCTGATTGGTCGTGTGCAAATGACATCTCTGATTGGGCAAAGCAGACTACGCCACTCTTCGTTTGCAAATCAAATCACAAGACCTGGTGTGAATAAAATTGCAATAACTCAAAATTTTATTTATGAAACCACCTTTCGTGTCCTAACAAAAAAAATTCCTTGCAAAATTTTGTATTACATGTGTTTTGTTAAACCATTATACTGCTCTAACGATATGTTTTATTGGTTTAACGTGCATACTATTATCGAAAGTTTCAAATATGTTTCATCCAATCAAAAGCAGGATTTCTATGCATCCAATAGGAACTTGTGGGGAAAATTAGTAAACCCCCTGTAGAATACCCATGATCCGATACTTCATGCCAGATAACTAGTTTATCCGGCAGGTATGACGTATACACTGATGGAACCATATTATTGCTCAAATAAACTCTCTTTGACTAATAATAAGCATTGATAATTCGAATGATGGGTATATAATGATAAAGGTGCGATTGTGTTTTGATTCAACTCTTTCTTTAATCTTTCTTTAATACTTCAATGTCACATAATTGACATACTCAATTATGAGTTCGAAGACTTTCCTTGAAAATTTTTCATATGGTTAAAACGAATAGACGGGAAAATATCCATGCTACTCTCACACGATATTTGAAAGAATATCCAGTCATTAAGCCGTGCAACATATAGGACTCTTACAAACCCAGAAAGCAAAGTTGATTTTTTGTTTGGCATTACCCGCCGGCCCATTTTTTTTTAACTTTTCAATTTTTTTTTTTTAAGCTACAATTGTATCAATTATTCTATTTTTACCATTTAAATTTTTTTTAATTTTTTTCATAAATTATTCAATTCTTCCGGTATCACATGATAGAGATCTTGTTTTCTCGAAATTATCTGATAGAACTGATAGAAAAAATTCGACTTCAAACCCAATTCCTGATTCCATGTTATACAAAGCGAAAAATTAACTTTTGCGACCTTAGATATGAACATGAGTCTATTAATTTACTGTAAACCGAAAAAAAATCTGACTCACCGACCGGGAATTTTGAAATTCGTGGAATGCAAAACGAAAAATCAACTTTGTGTGTGGCCTTATTCTATCTAATTATAAAACAATATAGTATTCGTTGATTTGATTTGTTTTTTTTAGATTCAAACCTAATGATGGCGGCAGAAATATTTGCTCGTAATAATGGGCTAGAGCAATATTATGAGATACGGGTATGTATTATTCTAATTACTAATTTATTATTTATAATATATTTTAATTACATTATTATTCGTAGATTCGAGTAATTCAACATTTATCCAACTCAAACGAGATCTAATTTTAGAAGAAACCAACATTTATATCCCGTTATCAGGCCAACAACCACCTTTAAAATCTTTACTAATCAAATGGCATAATATTTTACACACACCATTTTCATAATTTCATGAATCATCCGAATATAATAACAAGAAGAAAATACACTATCATTTCCACTATCATTTTTAATTGATCGATTTGTAATTTTTTTTATGTAAATTCCGGGCATAAAGATAACAATTGTAATAAAATGAGAATTTTTTTTAAAAAAAATTTTACGTATCACATGATTTTAATAATAAACTGCGGCAATAATATGGAATTTTTTCCGTCAGTGTATACATAATACCTGCCGGATAAATCATTTATGTGATATAAGTATATTTATGTGAATTCTGTGGTGTTATGTGTAACATATAAAATACTTAGAAGCCTTTAATGCATGGACAAAATCAAAATTATGTGGTGGAAAATTCAAATTATGTGCAATCCTTGACGGAACTTTTTCGAACTTCGTCTCAAAAAATTTTCATAGCTTTGTTCATAATTCAAATTCTACATCGGAAGATACCGGATCTATTAGACTTCATTCGTTGCCTCAATAAAATTGCCAAATTATGCGCCAGTTCTTGTAAATTACTACATTATATGATATTCTGCGGTGATATGTATTATATTATGTGATAAAGGTATATTTATGTGAATTCTGTGGTTATGTGTAACACATAAAACCACTGTCCCTGCTTTAATGTACTGTACCTTAATCGTTATTTTAAAATAACCATTTTTAGCTATAGTGATTATTATACGTAGCGAAAAGTTGTGTTATCTAGTTTTGTCCTTATATGTCATCAGACTTCGTAAAGTGAGCGACAAGATCAATCAAACGCGTACGTGATCAATCAAACGCGTACGTATTTATAACTGAATTAGTAAAACAATAAACGTATTTACGTACGTACGTACACATAATTATAACTTTATAAGAGTTAAATACATAAAATTATAACTAAAGACTAATTAATAAAAAAAGATCGTTCGCCACTTTTACCCTCATAAAATTAAGAGGCGTAGTTCTTAAGTAACATACATAAATAAACTATTTTTTTTATGTATAGCCAGAATGAGATTTAGACTTGCATTAACTTAAAAAGTCAAATATATTAAAATTCTTCAAAAACTTTATTAATAAAACCTATAAACTTCGCCATTTTACATTCACCTTATATAATCCAGATCCTATTCACAAATAATATAAGAATCACTTGCATGAATTAAAATATCTATCAACACTAGTTAAATACAAATGGACCTTTCACAGGAACTCGAAGCCTTGTCAATTGCAACCAAAGAAAAAAAGTATGATGAATTTCTAGACAAGCTAGGGACCTTACAACATGTCGAAAAAGAAGCAAAATTTAGAGATCTTTTAAATAAATTTAAACAATTTCCTACAAGCTCAGGTATTATTAAATCTATTCACAATAACGAAAATTTGACGCAGTACCAAAAAGATGAATATCTCGGAACAGCAATTATGAAACGAATCTATTTATTCGCAATGAATCATGAACTTACACACATTCTCTTTGAGTCTATGAAACTTTCCAACAATAATACTCTTGGATCCGGCGTAGATGGTAAACAACTTGAACAAGTTATGTGCGCAAATATCAATGTCGCCAATCGTTTCACCTGTAAGAACATTGGTGATAAACTTTGTAGTAACTGTCGAATTATCTTTTATTGCAGCAAAGAGTGTCAAAAGAAGCATTGGAAGTTTCATAAAACTAATTGTAAATCTGATATCGCATCAAAAGATTGGTACCCTGACTATATCAAGGAAGAGAGAATGCCAACATTCCTTTTAGATAGTCCGTCTTTTAACACTTTTGTAGGAGTAGAATATTTATGGGGAAATATGCCCGCAATTGATATTGTTAAAATAGCTTCTAACGAACTTGCAGGAGGCAAATCAAGTTTTAATGAGCCCATCAATCTTCTCTTTGCTGCAAGTGGAGATCTCAATGATATTATTATGTCAGTGAATGGAATACCACTCGATTTCAATCAACCAGTTAATATTTGTGTTAATGATTTTGCCGAAAGGGTTGTGGTTCGAAATTTTATAATACTTTATCTATTTGCAAAGCTTGGAAAGAATGCTATTGATATCGCTATTCATATTTGGTACTCATCAGCACTTACTGATGAGCAAATGATTGGATGCTTTGGAATATTTAATACTGTTTTTCAAGATTTATTAGGTTCGAATATGTCAGGTTCACGGATTACGGAAGAATATGAATTTAAGTGTGATAAAGTTAAGATTTGTACACATTTTAGTCCTAAGACGTGGATGTGCCTCGCAGAAATGCTTGAAAATAGCACTGATCTACAAACAGGTGTAATGTTGCGCAATAAAATTATGTTAGACCCAGCACGTATAGATTATCGACACCGACATATGCAGGCTCTTACGCCAGGAGAACGGATTTGTTTTGATAACTTTCGTCATCATGGAATTCTTCTCCCATATGGTGCGTTGAACGCTCATCATAACGTACAGAATAAGTTCATCTTAGATCCAACATATGGTTGGCTATTGCCTGATAATTCAGAACCACTTTCAGGATGGGATATATCTAGCGTTGTCCAGGTTAAGCATGGAACAGCAGACGAAGACCTTTATGGAAAACTTTACTTTTATCTCCGTGAACAATTTGGGATATTCATTGATCGATTGGAAAATTTGACAATTAATTTTGATTTGTATGATGAGGATGCACTCGAACTTGGTAAAAAATTAAAAAGCAAACGATTTGATAGAATTTATGTAAATAATATTAGTGACGAATCATATGTTGGTATTAAATCCACATTAACCAAATTCCGGCCACTTCTAAATGGCAATAATCCACATGCAACTCTAATTACTCTTTTCATGAATTGGTTACCTTCTATTCCAAAATCTGATCTACTAAAAGTAATGGAAAATGTTATTTCGAAAAATAATGATAAATATAAAAATAAATATAATTCGTCAGATAATAATGTAATGGCTAAAATTTTTAATATTATGGATGAAATCTCTAATGAAACTAATGCGTTATATGATCATACTCAAGCATTTGAAACATATATGGAAACGAAGGGAGCGAATAAAACTGCGAAAAAGGTCGGATTACGTCGTCGAACGGTTCATAGAATCGTACCTAAGAGAGTTGGTGTCAGTATGAGGGAAGATGAGCAAAACAATGTGCTATCGCTTGAAAATGAAAGAGATAGACATTTATTACTTGGTGTTGGAATGAACACATTTTTAGAACGTTATGTCGAGTGGGAGGTTGTGGCTTAACTTTACATCGTCACTTATTTCTTCATTTGCAAATATTCATGTAATTAAAGATTTCTTAGACAATTACGCTATTAATAGAACTAAATTTGATAAAGATTGAATTGAGATTTTGTTATTTGTTGTGAATTCACATGTAAAGTTTTTTATATATATATTGGTATACTTTTACATCGAATTATATTATTTGATTAGACAATATCTTTGCTCAAATTCATGAAATAAAATTAGAATGGGTGTGGATTTAAAATTTGAGTTAGAGATTAGATACCTAGAGTTAAAATAGAAGATTTGCGTCGAACTAAATTGATAGTTTATATAAGTGATGATAAGAAAAACAAATTCTGACTTTAAATTTATAATTTGTTGAACTCAATTTAGATTTTTCAGATTAAGTTTTATGTTTAAAAGCCGAAGTCTGGTTTTCCCAATCCCATAAGGAGCACTGCTCATACTGTATTATACGTATGACCAAAGTATTTCGGCTTGTGTTGAAGCTATTATAGTTTATATAGCAACTAGTTTGAATAGGCTGAAATAGTTTCGGTCGCTATGGTATTGTATGGTTAAAACAGAAAGTAGTAAATACTTAATTGCTACATTATGGTTAAAACAAAAAGTACTGTAGTAAATGCTTTAGTTACGACAATATTTAATGAATCCCTCATTATTAAATATACTTTCACTTCAATGCCAAATTTTGCAATGATATTTGTTGGTATTGAAACATACTAACATTCTGCTTTAGTATTGATTCTTTGATTGTTAAAAATTCAAGTATTTAGTCGATAAATAAAAGTGGAAAAGTACGCAATGCAATATTAATGAGATAAAAAATTCATTATTTATAGTTTTTGAACACATCATGACATAAAAGCTTGTGCAAAGTGCATGAATATTTCAATAGTCATTTACATAATAATGTTTACTAAGAAATTTTATCTTGTAAAAAAAAACTTGCAATTTTTTAAATACTGCGCTCAACTAAACAAAAACTTATCTTTTTCTAATTACTTATTGTTAAAAAACTCTTTTTAATAAAAATTTGTTAAATATTGTGTTCAACTAAACAAAAATTTATCTGTTTTCTGATTTATTTATTATTACACTTTTTTTAATAAAAATTTGTAAGCGTATCAGAGTAATTAATCTAAAAATAAAATTATTTATAGTTAACGATATTACTTTTATTTTTGAACTATTAAATATAGCAATATTCTCTTTCTAATTTTGAAGACGAATTTATTTATGGTGTTTTAGCATACTATATAAATTAATATACAATATACTAGAATATCATAGTTTATTATACATTTTAAAATATTACGATACTAAAAATTTAAAACGAGTGCGCATGATGCTAACGTAATATAAGTGAAGCAAAATTATGTGATTTAGTGTGATTTTGTTTAATCACACTAAATCACATAATTTCCGTGTCCCTGCAGTAAACTTTACAAAGCATAATCCACGTGCTTTGAATGCTTCCATAGAGGTTAAACAAGTTGGATCATGAGAAATCAATCTTACTATATGAATATGGCCATCTTTGCGCTTGTTAGTTGAAATAGTAAAAGAGTATGAACTGGTTTCATTTGTAAAATAAATAGCCAACAACCTATTTTATTTGTTCGTTCTGAACTTATAAAGAGAAGAGAATTCGACAGAATAACTGTCCAGGGCCGAATAGCCATTTTTATGTTAGTAAAAGTCATACCAATCTGTAATTTTGTATTTGACATGGTGTTTGTTATAAGCCGGTTTTTTAAGAAATATATCAAGAATTTCTATGGAATAAATTTACAACGCAAATATTGGGTTGACTACATTTTTTTTATTGTGCATTTGAATTTATATTCGAATTACTAATTGATTGTTATTACATTTCTTATGTGTTAACAATTAATGACTATATTAATTCATATTCAAATCATCGAAACGGGGCTTAAATCATAGATCCTTAAGAGCATAATTATTTTGGGCCCTTATTTGTCATAATTTTCAAAATATCAGACTTCTATCTGTAATTATTTTCATTTTGGGCCCTTATTTGTAATTATTTTCGTTTTTGGGCCCTTATCCGTAAATTCCCCGAAAAAAAAAAAACAATTTTTCGTCCAACGTATAATTAAAAATTGAATTAATAAATGTGTTCGTCCAAATTATATAAATATTTCCGAATATATGTATTTTATCATGCCGAACGGCTTTACATAATGCTTAAACGTCAATTTACTTGGCAAACTTTTGACTTTCATCTATAGCAACTATTTGCGTCGTAATTGTATAAAGTATTTTCGCTAGTAAAATTATTAAAAAGTGAATATAAACCAATTGTGATTATATCAAGGTATTTTAATATCACATAATTACACTACCATTTTTTATATTATAATGATTGTAGAGGAAGATGACTGCATTTTATTTTTTTCCAGAGGCTTAGGATCGCACCCAGAAAATGTGTACCAGGTTGGGATCGGATGATCGTCCGGAAAGATAGGTCGGAATGTTAAGAACATTCGGAACTAGAAACTAAAATTACGTATTTGCAATACATATTTATGTAATAAGTTGATGATCGATATTGTCATTAGCGTTAGCTTAGTATGATATTTTTCGTTTGTCTTTTCATTCGGAAGAAAGAGAGATGCAAAACATGTTACAGACACGTTTTTAATGCTATGAACAAGCTATTATTTAATTACAAGAAACCATCAAATTGAAATCTAAATAAACTTTGAATATATCGAACCTATCTATGCCACTTCAGCAAATATTTCCGTTAGCTTATAAGTATCAGGTTGAAAATTGCAATAACTAGGTGTGGAAATAAGCTGTTTAAATGATTGAAATTGGTTTGTATTTATTCGTAATAATTCAAATTCTGGTTAATAATTACATAGCAATAAAGATCTAAATAAGCATATAATGCCTGTTGAAAAGCTTCTTAACAGTATGAA